CAACAAAACAGATCAATGGGTAAACAATTTGATCGACATCATGGGGTACAAAGATGATTATTCACTGAGTCAAAAAGTATTTGCTATGAATTATCGTAGCAAACATCCTACATGGATACCTGGTCGAATCGTGTAAAAGAAGGGAAGTGTGGTTTACGAGGTGTCAGTTGGTTCAGACGTTTGGGTGCGTCATGCTGAATAAAAGCAACTTTGATTTCCAGCAACAAAACTCGACACAGAACACCTTAGTGTTTCGTTGAACATTTTCCAAATTAAAACCAAAGAAACGGACAGGCTATTCTTTGTGCAAACGAAAAGTGATACCACTTCTTTATTGCCTAAAAGGTGGACAAATCGAAAGCATAGACCAGTCATGGAGATCCATGTGAGCTCTAACACCAGATCCTGCGAATCTGTTTAAAGGAGAGGTGTTAGCGGAATATAGATTGGATTATAGAATGTTCCATCCAGGATTGTGTTGGGGCACATTGATCGACTAAGAGCTAATTAATCAACAGATACCTAGAAAACTCTGGGATCTTGTGTAAAATTATAAATGTACTAACGTTTTTCCTACCATGATTCCTACTTCCATTCAACCGTTTAGTTGGTATGTAATCACGTTTTACGTATCGACTGGTAGATACGTATTACATTACGATGCCCGTTATGATCACTCTTGTTACAATCTAGCTGGCTAGTCCCCAAATCAGAAGACGGTTGAACAGGAATGTAATTACATTCCAAATAAACAAAATTGAATGAAAGTAGGAATCATAGTAGGAAAAACATTAGTATATTTATAATTTTACGCAAGTAGATCCCAGAGTTTTCTAGGTATCTGTTGATTAATTAGCTCTTAGTCGATCAATGTGCCCCAACACAATCCTGGATGGAACATTCTGTAATCCAATCTATATCCTGCTAGCAATGACATTAATATTTAATCGATGTTAATAACAGGAAAATCGCAGGAGTCTCTAAATATCATTTGCAGCTTTGAAATAAAAAATACCTACTTCATTTACCAAGTATCGTTCGTATATGGGTTCCATCTTTACACAATGGTAAATTTGTATGGATTATTTTATACTACTACTAAGTAACATGATAAAGTTTGAAAAATTAAGTTGTTCGTTCAGAAAATAACACTTTTTGGCATACGTAATCACATTTTGACAGATTTTCTTTAACCTTATTGCATGAAGTATTTTTTACTTTAATTATTTCCCGATGGGTGAATCTAACAATTTACATAGTTTGCTAACAATGCGCTTTTCACAGAAGTACTGAACATAATTACATTGAATCCTCAGGATCTTAGTTGTACTTCATTCTACGATTTAGATGGCTTTAATTCTGAATCGTTCGTTGTATTTCTACACAACATCAGTTGCAAAAACTTTCACATAAAAAGAGCTATTCGGATCCCTTCACAATCAATCATAATCAATAAAGATCCTGGGACATATGTACATCGTTTCAAGTTAATGCAGTATATCGTGATGAAATTGTAAAGACGAATCCAAGAGTAGTAGGAGTAATAACAGCATCAGTGGTAGTAGAAAACATTAGGGATAGATAATATGATCTGAAAAGAAAGCATTAATTCATGAACTAAGAAAGTATGAGATGATTTTAAAACCCAAGATCTAAGGGAAGACAAAGAGTGAATACGTCTGCACTACTGCAAAAAATTCTGAGCTGCGTTACCTGTCCCCGATTACTGGCTACAATAAACAAGCCAACGCAAACAAGATAGTCAATGCCTAACAACACTACTCAGTCCGAATATAAATAACTTCGCTGACTGATGCTACATTCTGGATTGGTCACTCTTAACTTTCTTCTAACTTATAACTGACAAGTTGTTCAGTTGATATGGAATCTGACTGCTTTTTTGTACAATTTCGAAACGATGACTATTGACGACAAGTCTCAACGAGAATATCAAAATTCACTGAGATTTATGTGTATCAGGATGTCAGAAACCAACTAAAAAGAAGTGCACTATTAGGTTATTAAATCCTGATAAACGCAACCTATTAAGCTTAGTTTTACGCTTGCTTTCTCATTATGACTATCTTATTTCTTAATTGAGAAATCTGGACAAGCCTCAGGTCTGAGATTGACTTCAGAGAACATATTAACATGAAAACTCATTCCTTTCAATATACTGAAGAAAAATAACTTACAGGTATTTGGAGATAATTCTTTCAACAGTAAGGAACTATTGTATTGTTTTTTATTCCAAAAAATGTAGTAAACTAACTTAAGTACGAATAGAAATACACTGTAATTTTTTAAGTGTTCTGAAAATGACAAGCATTTTTATTTTATATACACGGTATATATCTCCGTTTGTGTGAATCTTTATAACGATCTAATATGACTTGTATTCGAAAGCGTCGATAACCATAATCGCATCCTTTACATATATCCCACATTGGACATAATGGACAGCATAATATGTCCAAGTATTTCATGCATATTATACCACCTGGAGAATAACAACATTGACACATTGCAAAACTACGTGCATTTTTCTCTGGTGGTAGATTCCATTCTTCTTCTTCCGGTTTTGGAACTATAGTAGGACAACCACTAGGACAATATTTTGTATATTTTTGTAGTGCATAATAAATAGTATCACACTTTCTTGGGATTGTAAAACATGTACAAGATTCACAACATGCTGACAGTAGACAACAACGTAGATTATAGGAATCAGATACTGAAGAAACTGAATGAATGTCATTACAATTATCTGCATGGTCATCATCATCCTCATTATTATTATTATAATCTACATCACTTTTTTGGGCATAACTATGCACATTGTTTTTAGATGACTGAATCCATGGTACCATATCTATTTGACTATCATGTTGTTTCAAATTTCTATACTCATTGTTACATGGTTTTATTTGTAGACATTCCGGTTGCTTTACAACTACGTGTCTTGTCATTTATGAATAAGAGTAGATGTGTAAAACTTAATCACAATTTATTATGTTGTAAAATATTACCTTCCTGTTTATTTTAATAACGAATATTGTATATTAAAAACTTATCCTTCAATAAATAATCAGTCTAGAATAAAAATGAATTACCGAACTAACTTTAAATTAAATAAATTGATTTCTATAAATTTAATAAGTTAGATTATCATGTGATTGAGATAACAATAGTTTATCACTGGTTATAATATATAACATGGAACTCAAATTTCACTACAGCAGAACAGGAAAGATACGAGCAACATAATTTACACAAAACAAAGTATGTACTATGTTAGATCGATTCAATCTGTCAGTAGTAAAATGGAAGTGATTATTAAAAGCATCAGTTCAGTATTTCCATACAGTAAGTTAAAATGTTGCTAAAAACATCTATGGTTAGTCATTACTTAAAATGATATCATTTTTACAGAGATGAACAACAACTCATACATGGTCTAAATAATTTAGGGAGAATGAGTTAAGTGTATATATAGTCAGTCAATCTAGTGGAATGAATAAATATAAGTTTAGGGATACTAAACATGTTAATAATTAATTCTCCATTATTGAATATTTAAATCATTAACATGGCTGTTAACATTTAAATGTAAACTGAAAACTTATTTACTTATTATTTTACTGATAACAGTAACAATCACATCAATGGTTAACGCCTAATTAATGTATCATGCCAAAATTCAATTAATTTGAAGAAACTTAATACTGATAAACGTACGGAAACATTATATTAATACCATCCTATTTTAAGATTCATGATTGGTAAGATACTTTCGACTTGTTAATTGATAAGCACATCAGAAACATAATTCAACTTGAGATATCGTAAACTTAATGTAATTTTTCACTGCTCACTGATTTCATATAGTTGACGTCAGTCAATAGCATTTAAACTGATAGGGAGATAAATCATATTAAAAATAAAAGTGCTTACTGCAGGTATCCGGTCATTTTTACTGAAAGAATATCTTTGCATGTTTTGAAATAGATTGGGTTATTATCTCTAGAGACATTAGTTACAATTCCAAAGAATAAGACTTTATAGACAACGAAAATCTCATTCAAGACGATTTTGTTATGAATTAAGAAGTCAGTTCCTCACCTAAGCGCATCATATGAGTAAGCCAAATGGTAATTCCCAATGACTTACCTCTATTTCACTTTATGTAACTAATTTATTAAGAATAACTTTATACAATCAACTACGAGTCATACCTTATTGTGTTGAAGGCTAGTGAAACTTAAAGCATGCCTAAAGCAAAGTAAGTGGAACTGAATTTGAATGTTCCATTCAAAAGGTCCCGAATTCTCCTTTCATTACTATAGTAATGTTGTCTTTTATGAGGCAAATTTTACTTTATTCAATAATCTTACCTATACAGTTAGTAAATGGTTATAAATATAATTGTCAAAATTTTTACAACATGTGAAGCCCACAACCGATACATAAAACTACACGCATGATTACATTATGTTGATGATTTTCTTTCAGTCACCAAATAAGGTTAAATTAATAGATAAATACCCTGAAAATTTCTGTCAGCAGAAATAAAACAACAAGCAGATAAGTGATAAACCAACAGTTTATTTTATTTTTTCGATTCCCCAAATTCCATATGAAGAAAAGTAATTATAATGTCTCCCTAACCATAATAAAGACGTTATGAATAGAATAAAGAATCAAATTTACAAAATCACAAACAGACATACATTAAAACATGTTTATTGCTTTTAAATGAGAAACATGATCCAGTAACAATAACGAAGATGACGGTTAATGGTGATAAAAGAAACGTGTCATAAACGGAAAACTTATTAAAAGACTAATATAATTAATCTCTTAATATGATGGGGATCTTTAAACGAGAAAACTTATTATCAATAATGAATAAAAGTTAAAAATAATTATTCCACTCTGTTAAGTATCTGTATAGATATAAATTCGTTTTTGATAACATATGAGTAATAAAAATAATATATCTAACGAATGGTATTAAACTTTGCATCAGTTAAATCCGATCGTGATGGAAACATGACACATAGATTGTAATCGAAATCAACATCGACAACACGGATTGGGCGTACCACAAGAGAGTTAGGTGGAACGACAATCGACTTCAGTGTTAACCTTTTATCCACTTCGTCAACAAGCTGTGATTGTTCTGTTGTATTAACTTCCCCAGTATTTGGTTTGTCACTGGATTTATTTTCCTTTGATTGTGGACAAGCATTTTCTAATAACCAAGCGATGACTACTTCAGCAAATTGTTTGCATAAAGGTAAATTGATTCCAGAAACTTCAATCAGTATATTATGTGTGTCTACAGTTAACTATAAATATAAAAGAAAATTGAGTAGGAAGTATAACAAGCGACAACATAAAATGAGTCTAAGCATGATCTATTTCTGCCTAATAGAAGTAATCACAACAATAACAACAACCTAGAAAACAAAGATGATATGAATAACTTAAGAATCTTACTAATCAATTAAATCATTTTTACGGAAGATGGTAGTCAGGCGATTTACAATAACACACAAGGATAGAATGTATGCATAGTACGCTACTGTAATATTTATGTTAACTTTTTTTCAGTAACAACTTAATGATCCTCTGTTCGATATTAAAAGGAACACGGAATAATTGGCTATGTTTGGTTATTAATGTCCTCATGAATTTGTCTTATCGCGTAAGCAGTAATGTTGGGTTCGGGATATTATTTGTGAGGAAAAAGTTACTTGAAGCAATGTTACGATTATTTTCGGTCATCTAACTTACTACAATAGTTGCATTCACAATTAGATTTTCACTCTATAACAATAGGAACACCAAATTGTATTAGCTTACAGTTTTTACACGTTTCTGACCTGCAGAAATCTCAACAAAATATATTGATCCAGTTGTTTGAGTATTTATGATATAATGCATTGTTTCGAAAAGTCAATTATGATTGGCTACTAGTTCTCTAGACTCAACATGCATATATCAGCAATATACCTTGAGTTTTAATAAGAAGTGGACTGGTTCATAACTCTAATTTGCAATGGTCCCTAAGAATAATTTTATTAATATAATATTGTACATGCAAAGAGAAAGAATAAACCTTAGACGTTAATATTTCACTGTTGTGAGAAAACATCGCTTAGTTGCCTTTTACAAGCAAATTTCATCGAACAAACAACATGCATTTCTTTCATTTTAACAATCCATAAACCTGTTCATAAAACAATACTTCATAACAGTATTCCTATCTTGAAATAATATTATTTATGTAGTCTAATTAGCCTTACTACCTATTATACATTTCGGATAGGATCGACTTGAATGTAATTCTGTGCAACTTACTACACAGGTTAATGATGACAGTTTTAGCTAACACTGTGTAAAAAACAATGATACTGCACAGTTGTTGAGGATAAAACGAGCCAGAGTAGAACTAATCAAAGTTTAGCCTAGATATTTATGCTACCCGATGTGAGTGACCGTTGTTTACACACACTTATTATGATTATAATAGAAAATGAATTTTACTTTGGTAATCACCAAGGTTATTATTTATTAGCAATCTATAAAAACCACAGTAATAACCCACACGTGTGTGATGACTATTGGTAAGTGGAGGGACTGAGATAACCACTGGTGTACTATCCACAACAATAGGAACCAACACATCACTGAATACATTTGAAGCTATTGCACTTTCAATATCCAATACATTCAAATAACGATAAACTTGACTAAATTTTGTTTGTTACGAGATTTTCTGTCTAACTGTGCTTCTTGAACTAATTGTCTTAAAAATGCGTCACCAGTACCATTAACAGATCTGTTTAACGGATGAATCTGTTATGAAAAACAAAAATGTATACACAAAATTATATTTATATATACAAACATGTTAAAATAAAAAGCATATACTATAATGCCTAAATAAAATTTTCATAAACGTTTACAATTACTATTGATAGATATACTGTTAATGAAATTAATATACCCTATCAAAATCAAATACAGGTTTATACATTCGACTTTAAGACAATTGTTTTAATGTAAGCATTGGTGATATACAAAAGAAAATCATCTGGTAAACTTCAGACAAATACATTCAAACTTTTATACTTCACACAATACAAAACAATTGTAATTGAGAACAGATTGTTTGAATCAACAAGATTTTAATATCAGTGTTCTGTTTAGTGTTTGTAATTTTCTATTCAGAGTAGAATTACATGTGATAAAAATAATCTTTAAAAAAAAGAACCCTTATAACAAATAAATATAGCTCATATATGAAAATGAGATTTCAGAAACCTTAAAAAGACTAGATGTTTAAGAGTAGATAAGTATGAATTGTTGAGAGCTATTGATCAGATTTACTGAGTAAAAGTTGAATCAATGTTTGTAACCTAGTAGCTCAATGATCAAATTTACCATTTGTTATGGATATCTTGAACAAAAATAAGAACGTTTCAAATGAGTTTCTATCGCTCCCTAATATGTTGCTTCAGATTTCGTGAAAATCAACATCTGCCGTAGCATAACAACCATTACTTACCTGAGAATATTACATTAGAATTGAGAAATTCGTAGTTTAGAAAATTCAAAACCTATTTAAAAAGCCTTGTCATAATATCTTTAACTTACACCATTTACACTGTGAGCGAAACAATCTAATTCTCATTGAGTTCATTTCCTAGTGTAACAACGTGATGTCTTCCAAGTACTTAGGACTGTTGGATAAAGTTGCGTAAAGTGGTGGGCATATGAAACTGATACGCTCTAGCCAATGCATTAGACTAAAATTACATTGGAATTTTGTACCGCCTTTTACCGATCTAATCGTTATTTTTAAAGTCTTTCCCATTGATTTCTTCACTACTCCTGGTGTTAATTTAATTTGCATACTTTGTTATGTACGTTTATTTCTCTACTTCCCTCTTAATGTGTTGTTTTGAAACTTGGCAGCTTATATTAGAGAACTTATTTTTCTGCTCATTTGCTTATCTTTTTTTAAAATTACTTTTGAAAATACTTACTGATATGAAGCACTTCTACTGTCCCCTAGACTGATGATACTCTTTTACTTTTCAAAAGATTTTTAGGGGAATTCATTTTTATAATCAAAGGAGAAAACTATATAACACTCATTATGCTAACTAGAAACAAAGATTATTAGACGTAATATAATGATATTTACAATAATATTTACTTACTAGAAATGATTTTGCTTCCTTTAAAGTGTAAACAAGCGGAAAACGGATTAGTTGTAAATCATGAGTAGCTAGAGTTGCATGATGACGCATTTGGCCAATATCACGATGCCAATTTTCTTGAGCTCGTAGAAAAGCTTTCAGTTTAGTTTCAGAAGGAAATTCTACACCATGAACCGTACAGGCAACGATGTAAGGACGTGGGCCAGTTTTCACTGAGTGAGTCTGATTAATTTGATATTCCTAAAGTATTTAAAAAACAGTATAATGACGAATTACACAAACCTGAAAATATCAGCAAATACAATAGCAATAAACAGGGTGGTCAAATAATTATTCTTTAAATCTAATGATTGAATGTTAACCAAATGTAAGCTTATTGGTGACGTTATTTGCCACACTAATATAAAAATCTAGGCTTCAGTAGTGTTAGCCTTAAACAGAGAAGTCCTACTCATTGGATTCACGTAGTGTTTGTAAGAAACTAAGAGGACGAAAAGGAAACATCCAGTGTTGTTGGTTCATACGGAAGATTCACATAGAGAAGTTGAAAAACCATGATTCTAATCTAACGGTGACCATGAACTTCAAAATTCTAATGAAACAAACGGTATGAAAACCTATTTTAGTCACTGGATACCATGGGATTGTGTCTTCTTAAAATCCAGTCTTCTCTAAACTGTTTCAAGTTAACGAATGGTCGATTTTATAACTATCGTTAGAACGGACGAAATTGGGTAAAACTTTTCTGAAGCTACGTGTGTAATTCAAACCTATCACCTCCAACATTAACAGGGTAGAAAAAGGATAGGTTTGGCTATGTCTTTGGAAAATTTGGTGCCGATGCATCGAGGATATCTGAGACTTGTATTATAAATTTTGGTTTTCTATTACATACATCAAGGTAATTAGACGAACTGCCTTAAATCTAAAAAAAACCTTTTCATGGCTATTTTAAACTGAACTATAATTTTTATTAACTGTTTTTTTATTCACTTATTTATGGACTGTACGACCTTCACCTCTTGTTTTCCTTTGCCGAATTATCATTACATTTGTGTGGTGCATATTATTGTGCATATCACTACCTTAATTTCTGTGCTATAGATAAAATGTAACAAACAAATAAAGACCAGTAGATCATTTGATTGGTAAACCGATCTTTTTGTTTTCAGAGACTCTAAACTCATACTATATACTTACTTTAATAATATTCAAGCTATAAAAAAGGAATCAGGTTGAAAACGATGCCACCTGCAACCAGCAAAACGTTGTGACAAACCACAACTAACCATTTTCAAAGTTGTTTGGAAATTACCAATTAGGATGAAGATTTTGCTTGTAGTTCATGAATCAAAGGTGGTTCTACGACCTTTAGCCATTTCAGATGATTGGTAAATTTAAATTCAAAGTATGTGTTATGTAATTTTGACAGAGATGAGGTGAAATACTTTAGTGGTCAGAGCAAAATATGACATCAGATAATACACAGAATGCATTATTTTCAGATCACTGCAACCTAACATACAGAGCCCATAGAGTTTACGATGCTTCTTTCATCAAAAATGTAAGTCAGTCAGTCAGCTACAACGCAGGACCAGGCACATATGTGCATCGGTCCAAGTTGCCATACCTCATCAGGAAAACAAGCTGAATACCGGATTCATAGAAGTAGTGAATTTAGTGGTGGTAATATATAAAAGATTGCATATATAGTACAGGAAGAAAGAATTAGTTCGTAAAAATAAAGGTAGAAACTAATTTTAATCCCGCGGTTTAAGAGAAAACAAAGAGTGTATACACCTACACAATTGTGATTGATTCTTAGCCATGTTACCCAGAATCTCCAACCATTGGTTACGATAGTCACGAGGATCCCAACCAAGTAGTCTGCATCTACAAACATGGCTCAGACTAGAAGTTAGTGACTTCAAGCACTGATACCACGTTCTGGTTTGGCCGTCCTTAACATTCTTCCAACCGTCCCCAACATTAGTTAGCATTGCGCGTCGTGGTAATTAGTGTTCAGGCATGCGCAACACGTTGCCCAACCATCTTAGTCGATGAAGATTCACAACCTCATCAACTGATTTACCATCATTCCCTAGCACGAGCTCACAACGGACAATTAGAACATTTGTTACATTTGGTGTCGGAAGTGTTTATTAGAAATGAACCATATAAACGACTAAAAACCTTCACTTTCCCATCTATAACTGATGCCAATCCAGACAACTGAATTCTTTTGAGGTACCCGACTACTTTTTAATCCACATAAGGTAATACTGTATGGAAACTGAGAATAACATCACCCTTGTCGATCTCTCACCATTTTGATCACATTCTGTTATTTCTCAACGATGAAACGGGATAGCAAGCCGCGGTTAGTGATCTTAATATAAGGAACCTAACCTTTCCTAAGATATGTTGAACGATTGTTTCACATCATATGCTGATGAGTAGCAATCTATCACGCAAATCCTAACGCCGCGGCAACCTCCTACCGAGAATTTCATTCTACTTGAAACGGAAGTTAGCTGTTTAAGCAATCCCTCGGATGAAAGTCACTATTCAGATGACATGTATTCGGTTTGTGGAGGGGCTATTTTTTATCCCACTTTGGTTGTATATCTTATGTATACCGCCGACGAACACAGCTGAAGTAAAAAGGGTGGTTTTACGTCTTATGGATGATTTAAGATTCGTACCAATTGAAAACAAAAACCAGCCAGCTATGATAGTTGTTGGACAGGCAGCAAGTCCTACAAGGTAGCTCCACTCACACTTTAAATGGGCTAAGCTGTCAGGTTTAGTCGAACGACCGAATCATCTCATGGTCTAACACCTAATGTATGATACTGAATGATTTTCTCTGCCAACAATTCGGTTGGTAGTTATGGTGTTTGCTTAGTCATACAAAGATTATTTCTAAAAATTTAATGACGCTTTTTGCTCTTGTACCAATCTCATTAGTTCAATAGACATTCATTTTATGGACGTACTATTGTGCTTACAATTAGTACGACAAGGTAACAAAACTCTATTCCCTATTCAAGAGACTGATTGGTGCTAGTTCTTATTTATTGAAAATATATTTAGCATATCCTGTTATATTCAGAGCTTTTATAACATTTTAATTAACATTTCCTTATTTCCAACAGTGTTTATATCTATACTTTACTCCATGTTAAAAACCAAACTAAAATTATTCACCTATACAAAACACAGTAGTGAAACTGAATCTGACTTGTACTTGAATCAACAAGTACCTTAAAAATGATACCAAATATGCAGAAAGTAGGACAGTATCAACTGATAGCAACATAACTACTCATAGGTTTGAAACAACCTGTTGATAATATATTAGAATATCAGTTTCGATCAACGGAAATAATCAAGTAAACCATTTCAACAAGAATGTAGAGTACAATATTTAAAAAATCTTAGTACTGAAATCCTAGTTATACGATTTATTAATATGTAGTTAGCTAAAACACCATTTGAAAACAAAATCTTAGTTACATTAATTTTAGGATGACCTCATTAAAAGCAATCTTTCGACGAATTCAGATTAGGCAGGACTGAGTTAAAAAATATTCTAAATCCGTTGGAAATTTAGTATGTGTTACTGATTTCTGTTAGGTTTTCAGTGTAAATAATTTTAAGCAGAATCTGTGTTCACATTATGGCTTATTAGTTAAAGACAGATATAGGCGTCATAATTTATATACAATTTATAAAACTATTTAACCAATTTATAGATTGAAATAATCTCAAGAATTTGCCGAGATACTGATAGAATTGTAGGGGAACAAACATACTTCATCGTCACTTGGGCGCTGAATGACAATATGCGGTATTGAAATTCCCGTAACTTCCGGTAGTCGAGTGGTGGAATTATTCATTTCTTCAGGTTCGGTTGAAATTTTCAGTGACGAATTTTGTCATTAACTTTCTTTCCTTTTTTGCTTCCTGTTTCGTCCAAACGACGAAGATAAGCTAAAAGCGCAGTTGGTGAATGTTCATCGACAGAAAGCCTTTTCAACCGATTATCTTTAAAAGGGTTTCCATGAATCTTTAAAACATTTAGTTTGCGACAACGATGAATATTGGCTGGAAAATCAGTTAAAGAGTTTTCTGAAAAGTTCGCACTCTTGAGACTTGATAAATTAAACAAATCCTTCGGTAAATTAGAAATGTTATTATATGAAACATCCAAGACTGCCAGATTAGTTAGCAACTCGATTCCTTCAGGAAGTAACTAAAAGCCGAAACAGTCAACAAAAAAAACCTAAGATAACATACAGTCAATTGATTCTTAGAAGCTGAGAATTCATGTAGTGATTTTAACCCTTGAACAGATGGTATATTTTGTATTTTATTGCCAGATAAAATAAGACTAGATAAATTAGGCAAATGGTTGAAAATGTCAGGGATCATTGAAATGTTGTTAAAGGATAAGTCCAAAGATCGTAAACAATGGAGAGATCCAAGACTAGATGGGACAGCTTTTAGCATGTTTGATGTAAGGCATAGTTGCGCAAGATTTAAAAGCTTCGATATATCATCGGACAGGAATTCTAAACAAGTATGTGAAATTTCCAGAAAATTGAGCTTCTTTAGATCATAAATCCTTTGGTCAAGCCCCACTGTTTCGATCATTTCTGAAATTTCCTTTCCAGAAACCACAAGTTCACGTCTCCCTTCCTGGAGAGCTGTCGAAACAATACCCCACTGAAAGTACAAAACATACAAAAAGAACAAGATATCGAAAATGAAAACTATTGTTTTGACATGATCGAGATAATAAACGATTAAAACTTAATCTCTGTAATTGGTGATGTTTCCTAAACAAGGTGATAGCCGACCAGTGAACAGTGTTTAGTGAGAGTTTAATGGGCCGAGGCACAAATGTCCTAGGCTCCACTCGGATTATGACTGACTGAATAATGGTTTAGTCAGTCAGTCAGTAACAACGTAGAGCCAGGTAGGCATGTACATTAATTCACATATCACATTAACACAGAAATAAAGTTACCAGGCCAAATCCTAGAATAGAAGGGGTACTAAAAGTATCAGTGGTAATAGGAAAGATTAGGCATCGAAGATACAATTGGAAAGCAAAACATAAAGTAGTGAAGTAAAAACAAAAAAATTATGAGGGATTTAGAATCTCACAATTTGGAGGAAGAAAAAGGATAAATGTATTCTGCTCACTAAGATCATTGGCCATGATGACACTTGAAGAGGAAGTTTAGAGTTGAAAGTCGAGTTGGGAGGAATAATAAGAATTGAAGAGGGAAACTGATTATGAATACAGTGATCTTGAATGCTGTTCGAGGTATGAGAGTAGTTTTTACTTCCCGGTCGCCCACACTGTGGAGGGATTCTTATGGAGGTACCTGAGAAGGAAATCATTTATTTATCTTTATTTATTCGGCGAATGAGCAGAAACATGTAGGTACATAACCAATAAACATTAGCTCGAACCTGCTTACCACCCCAAGCTTCCAATTTTTGGGAAAAATTGGGGTACTTCGGGGAACTTCCGAAGTCAAGATTAAAGGGGAATTTTGGGGTTTTGTGCCATTTCCCCAAAATGTGCCAAATTTTCCCCAAAATTGGGAGCTTGGGACCTATTGTAAGGATTCTAATATTCTTACAAATAGCTTGTCTAGTTTTATTTACTAGTTTCCTTACGCATTTATATATCTACTGAGACATATGAGGAGGTTAAGAGGAACTTGTTGAGGTATTATATGCTGTGAATTCTAAGCTATACAAAGGAAACAATCCTTCGTGATGATATCAACATCATGTATTCATTCAAAATAAATGCTCATCTTTTGTAACGAGCTTTAAAATAATATAATACACATATGGTACGAAAACACATACTTCACGAGCCATTTATAAAGAAACAATAGATGACTGGATCCCCACGTTTTTGAAGTACAACGTCACCATCAACCTTTGCGCCTCATAAATCTAACCTATATCCAATATCCAAAATTTTTAATCTTCAGTAATAAGGAAAGTAGATTGATGAACCTGCGTCAATATTTTCAGTTGGTTTTACAGTGAACTTTCAGCTTCTCCTTGAAATGTTCATTCATATGAGTGATACCACTTGTTCTGGTAGGCTTGTAGCGGTAAATAAATCCCCAAGATAAATAGCCCTGTAAGTTTTCGACATTGGATGCTGACCATATGTTTTAGTGGACTCATCTAGTTGAAGGCGCTCGGTCAGGCATCCGCAACAGATCACGTGTGGCGACGCCGTGCTCAACATCAACCGCAATCGCTAGCCAGATTAGATCAGAGAATTCCGATATATTGGTCATCGCCAAATACACTCTTCCGATCTCCTCGACTCTGTCTTTTGATTTCTCTGGGTGGGAACGAAATATATTAGAAGGTGTTACTGGTAGAAGCGTTGTCAAACACGGAATACCGGTGACATCATCAGGGTATTACAACTATTGACTACTAGGTAAGAAAAGTGAATACCATCCTAAATATATGAGATCACGATTTTTGAATCTCCTTGCTATGGCTTTCGAGATGATTAGTTCTTTACCACGCAAATATTTATCAAAGACACAGAATACCAATATAAGTTCAAATCACGTTCAACGTAATGATAAGGGAGTAGGTTCAAGCGTTTTAGGCACTCATCGTAAGAGAGTTTGAAAAGACCCCTTGCTTACTTTGTACTCACATGATGAACAAGCTTTATTGCGTTAATATCATTACCAAAACATAGAATAGCTGCCTAGACACAATACTCTAGGTTTAGTCAAACATAGGTGAGGTATAAAATCGGAAACATCTCGTCAAAGCACTTGGATGCCAGGCGAAGTGACCATAATGCCCGGAAACTGTTGGCGGCTGTCAAGTTGCAATTCTCAAATGCTTTTAATTCTTGAGTTGCTGTTTTTTCTAGGTATATGGCTCCCTGCACTCATGTAGGCGATGTCTGTTGATAATATACTGATAACTGTTACCGTGTCCAATACGCACACACATTTTAAAAGTCATTTCCAGGCCAAAACTTTGAAATCGTTTAACTAATTCCTTAAGGGAAGCTTGGAGACCAAGATGACCAGCCTCACCACTTAATGTTTGCTATATTTTGGCATAATGTCACCAACTCAAGCACTCTTGAGGAACCTAAGACGGTGTCTTTAAGTGCGTCACTTATGACCAGCTATCATTCAGATAGTGTCTTATTCCCCCTAACTGTCTGAATTTAGCCACAGAAGAATTTTCTTACCCATTCTTGTGATGCACCTTTTGTTCCAATGCTCGAGAGCTTCTGCATAAGAGATAATTGAGAAACCTTTTCAAGTGCTTCGCTGAAATCTAAGAATATCACATCGACAGACAAACTTTTACTCTTGACGTTTGGCAAATTGTATGATTCTGTGTGACTTAGTAACTGAACCCGAATCGCCTTTTCGAGTAACTTAACTACTATGCTGGCTAGACTGACAGGTCAGCAGTTAGATACGATCCGTCTCTGATCATCTTAAAATATAAGACTAGCTATAGCATCTTTCCAATCCCTGGAGAATTGAGTGTGGGAAGAAGACACGTTGTAAAGCATCATGAATGGCTTTGAAATAGTGTTTGCGAGAGATGACAGCTTTCGTGAAAGTGAATCACTAGGACCCGGTGTCTTACTAAGTCTGAGGCTAATGAGAAATTGAAGAGCGGCTTCCTCAGTCACATGTGCAGGTCCTATAGCTGATACCTTAGTGGTGTGGTTATGACAACTAGTGGTAACAATACTCGTAGAGTAGACTTTTCTGACATAGTTTGATCACGCATCAGCCGTGTCCAGATATAATTCAGCCGATATGTCTGAATTTCCATGCAACAGTACTATAAAAATACCCTCACTGAGTTTTGTTCTTCGTCTAGTGTATGAAAACAATCGGTTTCGGTAAGGAAGAGTATCATACGCTAAGTGCTTTTTGTATGTGATGTATCATCTATTCACGGCTTTTTAACATACACCCTGAATTTCTTGGTATCCACACCTAAACAGTTCGTGCTCTGTTGACAAGCACGAGTTCATTAGGTACTTCCTACGCCTTAGCTGCTTTCGGGTTTCCTTGTCAATCCATATAGGGCAATTTGATAGTCTACGTGTTGACCAGCGGTTAACGGCGATGTTACATACTGGCACACGGCTTCAAACCTATTCCATTTTTCTTCGATCGACCCATCTGTATTGATCGACCCAGCTTTTGAGATAGTACACTCTCTGATGGCCGGGATTTTAGTCCGCCAGATATTGGGACTGGGTGGGGGAGGTACTGTTTTTATGTGTCCGGAACCTAAATTACAGTATAACGTGATCACTTTTTGTTAGTGGGGAGAGGTACTAAATGTCAGCGATGTCACTACAGTGGTGAGTAAAGACATAGCCGAGCAGTGACGAACAGTGTTCCAGGTTAATATTTATCGGTTTTCTATGATACGATGTACAATGGAACATCCAACAACGGTTGACAGGAGGCTGCTGTCAGAACGTCCACCTGAAGTTGCAACCGCTGTCCACCTGGTATGATGAGCGTTGAAATCTCCAACGATGAGACAATAGTCAAACACTCCAAGAATAGGTATGATTTCGGACAAAGTTATCAGCGAGACAACGTGGACTACTCCTTATTTCTCCCATACTTACTAATCCGAGTCTATATTCCGTGGTGCAACAAGCTGCCTCACACGTACGCAAAACACAATGTTCGAGTATCGACTGGCTGTCTTTCCGTTGAGATTGCTGTGACATGTTTATATTGATATAAATTTTGTAGTCATCAGTAGACTCCTGTTTGTTCCACCATTTTACCCTCGAGTTCTTAACTAAATAACGTAATTCTTTCGACTGATCAGATTTTCAAGTGACCACTCTAGTCAGATACAAATATTGGAATTACGATCTGTGTATGCGTAATTTACTCTTAAAAACCACTTATCTCTGGACCTTCAAATTTAACTAGTGCAGACTTTCAGTTTATGTATGTACTACATAGCGTATCTACTTTGATCGTCTTCTACTAAAAATCGACGGTTCTAGTATACTTTATCATATAAAACTATCTTTCCGTGTAATATACATGTTAAAATTTACCCAATATGCACATTTATGTTCTATTTTCCCTCCATACATGTACTAATATACATACGACATCTCAACTGCGATCTCCCTGCCATCTCCCTATCTTGTATTTGACATCTTCGCCGATCCTCACGATAAATTCACTGTTGTTTCTAACATAGGTTTTGATTTCCAGACTCTCTCGGGCCATCGGCCTCGATTTTTTCTACTCGTTTCTATTTCCAACACATTATTCAATCCATCTGCTACTTAACATTTGCTTATCATGCCTCAAAGAGAAGTGAATGCCCTGCTTCTAGGCGTCCAGCCAGACGTAGGAAAATGACACGGCCTAACGACACTACCGACGCGATTTACGGCAGTTTCAAGGGAACGGTCCACTCCGTTCATCAAGAGGCAGACACGCTTGTGCCAGTTCCCCCCATACCAGACATGTTGAAGTGTCTATTGATAAACAATCATGATACTTACATCTTCAACCGAACGGATGATATAAGAAAGTTACAGGTTGATACAAACATTCTCAATTCGCTTAAGTATCTCATCAACATCAACCTCGTAGAGGCTCTATATCAGATGAATGACAAAAATAATTTCGCAGATCGCATTGCTTTTGAAGTATTTGAAAGAATGAGGTGATCTAGCAATGGAGTTGTGCTTAATATAACGGACACATGTGCCTTTAAAAATACTAAGTCTAGTCTGATTGGGGCCAGCAATATGACACATGTACCATGTGTGTACACAAGATTAAAAAGAAGTCATTCTGGAATGCACTCACCGATCTTGTTCAAATTCAACTCATCTGTAGACGCCAGTGAGTTCCTAACTTTCTCCAATAAGATGACACAGAAACAGATTTTCAAGGATGTTGAGATTCTATCAGACAGAACACCATGCCAGCAAAAAGCAAGAAGGGCTAGTTACAGACCACTATCGACAAATTCGCAAAAGTATCATAATCCCAAAAATCATAAAATCAAGTTTGATGCTAATAGGACTACTGACTACAAATATGCCACCAACGATAAGGTCTCCTAAGTCTCTTAACGTTTAAAATCCAGAAGGAAGTAACCCCAATGTAGTTAACGTCCATCCTCCTAAAAAACGTTGACTTAGATCTAACCCCAAGTAGTTGTGCCGTTGACAAATCAGATAATACCGTTCGAATTTCTGACGGTGCAATACGTAGATACAGTAACTGTGTAACGGCTAATGGGCAAAATAGTCATAACATCTATATAACCGATCACACACTGAACGTCGATATATTCGGACCTTGCAAACCATCGCGAGTGTGTTTAACAACACTCGATTCTCCCCAAATTGCGAAGGAGCTAAAACGAACCATAAACCTTGGAAATAAACACTTGGAACGTGTTACACATACATCAGGTATAAAAAGTAATTCGAATTATAAACAACCACTTGGTCTCACAAATAGACCCAATACCCTTCTTGGTCCGGCCTCAAGATGTACACTATACGTCTATCAGATATTATAATGAATGACAATTAGATGACTTTGTTGCGGTTCCCCTGGCCCTCCTGTCGGCAACGGTGAATATATCATAAATGATGACAAAGTTGCATAATCTCCTCCCTCACAGAGCATAACTCTTACCTTAGCCAACCCCACGAGTATTCATGGAACTACCACTTGTATTCTATACTCTAGCCTGCTTCATTATGACACCTCTTGGCTTCTTATTTCTTCATTCGGTGCCCACTCTCTGTCTAGTAAAATGACTCATCTTAAAATCCTTTTATTCCCTATAGATCCAAGCATTGTACCTACTACGGAAACGTGGTGCAAATTATCTTTATCCGATTACTCCCCACACGTAGATAACTACGTTTTCTATCAAACCAACAGACGTCACGGAACGGGAGGGGGTACAATTATCAATGTCCGTTCAAACGTTCAGGCGTGTAAATTTAGGAATGAATGTCTTGATGCTATAGATGACTCCGTTCGGGTTACCATAAATTGTGGACTGCAAAATTATCTGCTGGCGGGATACATATGCAAACCACCTCACATAAATACTGACTCTGGTAAGTTACCAACAAACATATTTTTCATCTCTTTGCATCAACTGCATACGCTTAAAATCATCGGAGGTGATTTTAATCTGGAGTTCAACTTCGGTATCTGATCGATTTAACAAGTTAGTTGAAACATCAGAACTTTGTGAATTAATCCAACAGGTCTGAAAATCGACTAGGAAGAATAATATATTTGACTCGTTACTTACAATCAATATAGACTCTATCTCACGGCACGTCGGTTATCAGTTTTTTTTGCCAGTGATCATAGTCATATTGAGCATGTAAATCACCAACGTGGATGATCTACGTCGGATGATTGGGGGCCTACTCTAATTAGACGGGAGTGGTGTGACCAGCGGTTTAAGTCGAAGTCACACCTCGCGGTCAATACAACGTAGATAACCACTTCGTCGTATCAAGGTACTATGGACTCTTTGAAGACCGTACAGCACAAAGGACGTTATTACGGGAATATATTAATAAGAGTAAGTACAAAGAATATAGTGAGACCATCACCACATTGACCAGCGCATGGCATACGATTGACTTATGCGCGTTGGTTGCCCTTGACCTTGAAGGGGATCGATGATCTGTTCGATATTCAGTGACCCAACTGCCGGATGATTTGGCTAGGGCTCAGTGACATTTCACTGACCCTACAGGTATTATCCATTCTCTAAACACTATACAATTGAACTCTAAAGCTCCAATAATGTACTGAAGCAGGAAGTTTGATCAACAAACTTGAAAGCGCACTGAACCTTTTTTCGATGCTCACCATAGGAATCTTATCTCGCTAAAATAATAATGTTGACAATATGCTTTCTGACTTATACAACATCCTGACGTATTGCTTTGACTGCAATGCTCCAGTTACCGGCCATGTGGCTTATAGCTCTAAAAGGGGACAGAATACTTTTAAAATCTTTAGGAAAAAGTCGAGGAAATTGAAACACCGCTGTTATAAGGATCGTGACGTGTATGCACTTCAGAGTATAATAAACTTGATAGACAGAAATGATTCATCTAAATACAAGTTTCTTATGACTATGGAGAATAAAGCCCTGGGTCGTAAAAGCCCAGAGTTATCAATACTTCGGCTTTTCAAAATACAATGTGAAATCGAATCCTTTTGGTACAACCGAATTCGGCATCAATCATTTGATAACGATTATTCGTCCGATCTAACTAGAGTCAGATGTCGGGATACTAGTAACTAATGAGATCAAGATCAATGTCGAAGACTCACAAAACTTTATTTTGTGGATTCATTGGTCGCTACATTCAATACTTAGAAATGTGGTGGTTTTAAAAGCTAAACTAAATTCTCTAGGCTAAGACGTTGGTCATAGTAGAAAGTATGTGTTCTAATGAAACTGGGAGACCAATAACAATCCACTACAGACTAATGTATGACCCTTCACATGGAAGGCTACACTTAATAGCCCTATAAAATGCAGGATGTCTCGAAAATTCCACATCCAGGTCCTGGTGTCACTGAAAAATTAATTTTCGAGGATGTTTTGATATTAAATTTGATGTGAAACTCAGGATAGTTGGCAAAAAGCTGCAGTGTTAGATATCGAAGACCAATCCAGTCGATGCACCTAATCGGCTGCCAGGTCTCATAATGTATAACTTGACACTATCCAACCACTACTACTCTCGAAATGATTTTTGACCACACTAGGCTAACAACTTTGGTCTACAGTGGTTGTCATTTCGAAAAATTACAGTAATGCCTGAGTTAAAGTAAGTGGACACTAGTGCCTACCACTCTGCCATAAATGAATTTGAAGAGATTCAGTTGTCCACTCGAAGTTAGTATTGATGATGTCACAGGTATTCAGTGTTTCACAACGCTTCTACCAGTAACACCTTCTAATATATTTCGTTCCCACCCAGAGAAATCAAAAGACAGAGTCGAGGAGATCGGAAGAGTGTATTTGGCGATGACCAATATATCGGAATTCTTTGATCTAATCTGGCTAGCGATTGCGGTTGATGTTGAGCACGGCGTCGCCACACGTGATCTGTTGCGGATGCCTGACCGAGCGCCTTCAACTAGATGAGTCCACTAAAACATATGGTCAGCATCCAATGTCGAAAACTTACAGGGCTATTTATTTTGGGGATTTATTTACCGCTACAGTATGACATCGATTGGTAGTGACTCCAGGTGAAATAAGAAGTGTAACAGTAAACACCTGCTCCTCTGAAATAACTAGTTCAGTAAGCGTCAAACATTGACCCTAGCCATGTTGGTTTTGAGAAGTAAGGTTAGTTTGAAGTGCTTGGTTAAATACCACCAGAAGACTACAGTATGACTTGATGTAAGACACTTTCACTCTGATAAATAGCCTGTTTAACGTTCCTTTATCCCTGAATATAATTGAACACACCTTTCCTCTCAACTATGGTTTTTCTTCTTATCTTTTGGTTAGTTGGTTAGAAGGCACTGGGGTATCAGGTTTGTCTGTTTCTGTCACATCTAATGTTGCTCTACAAACGTCCCTTAGTAATGCTTGAAACTGGTACTGCCAAGTTGGTTTACAGAACAATACAATGCTATCCAGCCGAATATTTTAATCGCGCAAATGTCTTCACTGTGAATAGTCAACTACTTGTAACAATTCAAACAATACTCAAGATTTAAACCGATTTCTCTCCACGCACTGAGATGTGAGACATCCATAATCGCGTATGAAGACTGTGCCCATCTGTTTATCAAAAATGATGGCTCACGACAGCCGCCTCAGTTACGTTAAAGTGTTAATCCATTAAAAAAGACAGGAAGTCAATTACAGTCAACGGAACTCCCTCAAATCTTCAGCAACACGAAATAATAGTGAGTGAATATCTGAATTCATGCTGTGAAACTTAACAGCGGAATGCAAGCATGTCGGGAAGCTAAACTAACCAAAAAGTTATATAAAATCACGTCTTGTTATTTCATTAACATGTACATCTCCCTGCTAGTGAATTATATTAGGCTGTTTAATATCTGATGATAAATAGACCAGTATTTGGATAACTGGGCTTTGTTAATAGACACAGAATAACTAGGTGGAGATCAAGACATATCTCCATTTTGCTAACGAGTGAATAGCCAATACATCCACTACACAGTTACGTGTTTAAAACGATCACAATAATACAATATAGCTTCATGCTGCATACTATGAGTTCTCGATAAGGTTTTGTTGAAGTTCTAGATCCATTAGGACTAGTTCCATACGGTAGTAGGTGCTATTCAAAAGACTATTTGTAAGTAGTAAGTAGCGGAACACGGCATTGGAGTTGCAGTTGTCAGAGAAAGTGCAGTTTGAGTATTTGGGAAGAACAGCGTCGGCATAACATATGGAGACCAAACGATTCAGTTCGGCTTGCAGAATACATCGAGAGATAGGATTATTGGAGGCTATGTATATGTACTATGTAAATGCTCCATAACTTTTCACAATAAACACACTTATTCTGCCTTCCTTTACACTATTCCGTTATATTACTTCAAATTCACAGCTAATAAGTCATTAGTGGATTAGTCTTTTTAATATTGATGAGTAATTTATGGTCCGTACTAATTCACATAGTTTTAGGTACTTAAGATCACTAGGGTCTGTTGAATTTTCAACAGAAACTGTAATGCATTGACAAACCAATATAAATAAATAACACACATTTGTAAATCACTGAACCAAGTGGAGTATTTTTAACAAAACCCGATGAAACTACACTACTTCTGTACTGGCTGGTCACGATTTCACTTTTCATGTCTTTGAATAGATAACCTAATATCCAAAAATGTCTTAAGCATTAGACAGTCTTGTAAATATCACTCATCTAACTTGAAACGTGGTTAGCGATAGGATTTATAAAACTTAAAACATAACACTTTAGTCTGCTATCAATACACACATGGTCGATAGCAATCGATCTGCACTAATTAGGACTTGACACACATGACATTGGTCACCACCCGGTGATCCATCAATTGTGATTACATCTCAGTCCTACAGGAGGTTGGTCGCGGCCCGGATAGCTCAGTGGTAACGTCTCTGACTGTGAAGCTGGGTGACACGGGATCGAATCCGTCAGGGAGCACCAGTTTCCTCAAGACTACAGGTGCACCTTGCTGACGAGTGCCAAGTAGCACGAAACCCGGGTCCAAGGTTTCCTGTCGACTACCTCCAACCACCATCTAATCTCACAATAGTTCACGCAGTGTCGAGTCACCTAGACTGGTGGCCACATTGCATCATGGTCGATAGCAATCGGTCTGCACTAATAAGGACTTGACACACATGATATTGGTCACCACCCAGTGATCAATCAATTGCGAATGCACACAACCCCATCATCTTGGTAACCATGAGCGCAAGCATTCAACTAATACAGTGTGACACAAACCCCAGTGCGCAAACATTAGATGGTGAATGAGTTGCGACGTAATATGATTAATGTAACTTATTTGGCTAACATACTCAATTACATTAGGTAATATTAATGAATTTTATAATATTACTTTTTCTGGAATTAAAAAAAACTAAAAAAATGCAGAAGAAACAATACAAGAAATTTATTATCAAGCTGTATATTCGATTAAAAGGAGTAGTTAACCTTTAACTGGGTTAAAATGACAAACGGTCATGATAAAGTAATCATGACACTTGAAATAAAAAATCATAGTACAAAGAAATCACGAAACAAAAATAAACGCAAATCAATCGGAAGATTGTTAGAGAATCATAGCATGGTTCACTGTTGATACTAATTTCTTAGGCAGACAGATGATTGAATTTCGGTTTACTTTTTGAAGGAGCTTGTCCCAATAGATAAAGACAATCAGCAATCATAAATCTGAAGTGATAATGAAACGAGATACTAATAATATGACTGATACCAAGGACATCCTTATCAATTTCTATAAGGATTGAATAAAATTGACGAAAAGTTTCAAATTACATTTCCGTATTTATGAAACTAGACAAATAAAGTTTGCTACGTCTGTAGCCTTAAGTACTTCCATACCTTCTCAGTGGTTTCAATTCACCTCACTCCAAACAACGGGTACGATTTTTTTAGACCAAAAATCAAGGGTATTGATGACACAATCAATCACTGATAATACAAAAAGTTGATGCACATATTATTAATGAATTTCTGAAATTAGTGATTTACAGATTTGTTATATTGGTTATTCCAACTCACTTAATTTGACTCCGAAACATTGAGCCAAACAAATTTTTCAGTAATCGATTATTTGTTTTTAATTACACGAAGAAAATTGTGTTCTGACAATCCAAAAGTTAAATTTTTCTAACTGACATACTCTCAAAAACCTTGGAATCTATTAGCTTACAACCACTGAGTTAAGATAGAGATTATTAGACAAACACAGTGGTCAATTCTGATTGGAATTTAACTCCGGAATCAAATGTGAGAACGTGTATCTATTATGATAGTTACTGTTGTTATCTAAACACAAATTAAAGTACGTGAAGTGGGTTACAAACATATCTGTTGGTTGGATGACAACTATTGTAAGTGAAAATATATCACAGGATAGCTGCTATGAGACAAAGCACTGAGAAACCCGTTATTTTTGATGACTAATGAACAACAGAGTGCGCTTCTACAAATTAATTACCAGTATATCAACAGAAGTTTAAGCATCATGATTACAAACCCAACAGCCATTAGCGTAACTTAACAGTAATGGGAGTAAGAATCTTACAAGTGTCTCATCATCTATGCAGCATGAAATAGAGGTGGGTTTTAGCAAGATAATTGACATGATAGAATGAAAATACACTCAAAACTAGAATTGTAGGGGAGTGTATCTTTACTGATAGTCGAGTGCACTTCACCGTTTCACAGAATTTCCAACGAATTTTGAATATCACTAACTGATCGGAAACAATCAACACGGAAAGAATACATTCGCGAATCGGTAACAAATTAATGATTCTTTCAAAAAAAATTTGAATGATATTAATTACTGACAAGTAGTTTGCTATTGGTCAAGAACACAGGAAAGTTTGATTACTACCAAATCTTTTCAGTTTTAGTATCCTTTAGTTTATGTTTTTTAAGCAGTGAAAAGCCATGGAGTCAATAAATTTGAGAGATGATGAGGCACATATAAAAACGAATGAGGACTGTGAAGTCACAAAGTGGATGGAGTGTATATGGGATTTCATATAGTCATTTACTTAGAATTTTACTCGCCGCGAAACCTGGTGAGCCCTAGATTTAAGCTGTGTGAAGCAGAAAGCAGACAATTTTGAGGAAACCCAAAATAGGAAAAAATGGTCTCTCAGTACCCCTTGCTTATTAGTGGCTTCCTAGACAATATCAATCCGTAGCAAAAATTACCATTAAAGCGTACAAAATCTCTGCATAGCGATCACACGCGACATTCCCATAGTTCAATTTGATGACCGTAAGAGTGACGCCTAATTTTATGCTAAAAAGATTACACAAGACAAAAAGCAAGAGAAACCTATGAAACCACTCATAAATATCACGAAGTAGTAACAAATGTACAACTATTACATGTTAAATACGATTTATTGGCCAATGTAAAGTTCTAAACTAACACGAAACAAATGGACCCAAATAATATCTTTTCGTGATTAAAAATGCCTGTTCCTGAAGGAAGTATTTAATTCTGTAGGAATCGTTACTTTATAAATTACACTCACTTGTACCAAGGAATAATTATTAATATGGAAGAAGCATGCCATAAGGAATGAGCATCAAATATCCAACCGATTGGCACGAAATCGCATAATTCTAGCAGCATGAAAACCATAGAGGATGTAACTGATAACCAACAATAAATAATATATGGTTGTCTTTTATAATCACAAAAGTAAATGCAGAAAAATAACCAGCCAAAACAATTGATTAGACCTGTTGAATTAAAACAACGACTAATTATCATAATGTTAACAAGAATAAACATGCCAATTATAGGTTATAGGAATCGAATGTACTCTACTTAAGAGAGCCACTTTTATACCTTTAATAACATTATTGTAACTCATTTACAAGACGGTGTACTCAATCTTCAGTCTCACTTTAGATCTGAGCTATTGAAACTACCCGATTCCTCAAATTAAAATGCTTAGGACACGATTTTGCTCAAAGACCTACTAGTTGAAAACTGAACGTTTTCAACCATCACCATTCTTACCATATTTTATTGCTCATCAGGTCTTTGTACTGAAGTAGAGGAAGAACATTAGTCAAACTTAGATTTAACTGGTTGCTAGCTATATTAGATTTGAATAAATTTATATTGAGACGAATAAGGCTAAGGGCTAGTCACTCAACAGAATGTTCGTATTGGGAGATCATATATGACTCAGTAGTTTTCTGTAAATTTATTTATTGTGGAATTCGGACAGATACAGCTTATACATGATGATTACTAGAAAATGAAACCACACACCTAAAGTATATTTTAAGTGCCCTCTAATGTACCAAAATGTCACACATGCCATAAGTATCATGTTTTAAAAAGTACTCAAATTTCCTCCATCCTCGCTCTTTTCAACTTACTAGGGTGCTCACAGGTATGATAATGGGAACTCACGTATTACTGTCCTTGGAACCTCAGTAATTAATCAGCCGTAAGCTGGTCAAGAGTGCAAAATGGTACTACATCAACCCCATTTCTCCATAATTCTATCGCTCATCACTTTATTTTCACTAAGGTAAGCTGAATTTCCTCTTGATATTCTAAACAATCACTTGGAGACTAAAGACATCGCTATCAAACAATCAAATAATCTGTTGATAAGGGGATCAGTAACTTATGTATAGTAGCTAACCTAGTTGAAGTACCTGGGATAAAGAAAGAAATACAGTGTATGAATCATGAGATTATTTAAAATAAACTTACCGAATAAAATGTTGACAGTCAAGTTATAGCCATAGTCAAAATTAACGAAAGTCATGTAATTTACATGGTTCACAAAAAAGGCTGATAGAAGAGCAGAAAACAGGATAGTAATAAATCGATTTGGATTGAAAATTCTCCGGTGTAAAACCATAACAGATGCAATAACAAATGCAAGTGCACTAAAATAATCCATTTTCTGTGAAATCACATGTTATTTTTAAAAATGAACTTGCTTCAGTAAACGATGTGTCCCTTATGTGAAATATTGTTGACCAAACCCACGCGTTCATAGAAAACTGGGATACAGAATTAGTGTTTAAAAACTTACGATAATTTGCATCACCCAGGTTTTATACATAGGAGAATTGTATGGGACATATCTGTAGAATTTATTGAACATGTGACAATTAAACATAAAGTTCAGGAGGGAAAATATGGCAGATGCTGGTTCTTGTATACCACAGAGACGAATGAACGGCCACTAGTAATAAGATTACAGAAAGATGATTAACTCACCTTTCCATTAAATTGAGGGACAGGCCAACCATTTTTCTCAAGTGCAGAAACAGTATTCCACATGCAGCGATATTTGCACTCAGACTCGCAATCCCAAAGAATTGAATTCTCGAAGATTACAACTCGAGAAGAATTAAAGTGTTGATCCCAGTAACTTCGTCTATTCGACAAAGAAGATTCACATATTTCCTCTCTGCACTTCTGATTGCATTCATGAAACACAAGAGTCTGATCTCCTACAGATGAAACTACGGAAGGTATGACAACTAACAGAACATAAACAAATGCTTGGATCAAATCAAAATACATAATAGATGTGTACCAATGCAATCAAACTACATGACGAAGCGCCAAACCGTTTTAAAGAACAGTAAGAGGTGAAAAGTTGAGAGACAATTAGCAACAAGATGACTAATGAGCACGAGTCTGAAATGCTCACAACAATGTGATACCTAATCGGATAAAATTGGATAACGGATCGTGAGCAATATCACCAAAAACATAAAATTACACGACAAAAATAACTGTTGGTCCATAAAGCTGACAAACTAGAAATTACGGGTATTTAAAACACTTAACTAGAGAAGTTATGATTTATTAATAAGGGTTTTACAAAACTATTTATTTTAAAAGAAAACAAGCCAGAATGTACATAACAAGGATATGGTACATTTTCAGCAATAAAATGATAAATGATTAGACCGGCAGAAGCTGGAATATTGGATCTGCTACAAACAAAGGTAATACATTAGAAGAGAAATGGTAAGATCTAAGTGTTTTCAAAAACTCGACAAGCAGTACATACTCCCAATTCGCTAATAACCCGGTGACCTATTCAAGCGTTTGGGTCACCTATTTTCCGGTTCTATTAATATATCCATAAACTTTTTTGTTTTAAAATTGTTTGAATCGAATAATTATCAATCCTAACTATTTGCATTCACACATTATTATGAAAGGCTTACAACCTATCACGATGCTAAGTACTGGAAATTTTATACCGAAACACTGTACTTCGCAGTGAATTATTTTTCCCATCTACCCTTTGAAGAAAAACGAGAAACATATTGCAGTGTACGAACTGCAATATCTGATGGATGAAAGTGGTTGCAACACCAAAACTGGTAGTAATTTTCGCCACTGTAGATGAATGGAGGATAGTGACTTAATAAATATATTGTAATACTGTACATCTGATAGTGAGAATCCGTACTGTAACAGAGTTTACAATTATGAATAAACCTATTTTATTATTAAGAAACAAACCATTATTTATGATCAGACCAATCATGTTATGTGAACACAGAAAATAAGAACACTAATATCACGGATAGGCGCATGCATTATTGTCAGTCAGAAAGCAACATGATGACAAATAACATGGGGAGGTCTAAAAACTAACGATGTAGAGTACCATTCACTTCCCAGAAGTCCTTAGACTCACTTTGCCAGGTTTGTAAGCTAGTGTAGATTTCCTATAGGTTTATTTTGTTTGAAACTAAACTGTCCAGTTTTTATATACTTGCAAATATCTGCTTAGACTATCATACTTTGTTGATATTGGAAGTCTGGGTTTCCATCTTATCAAAAATGAATCCACTGAATCACGCAAGGTGAGTCACAGTACATGTAGAGGTGCCAATAAGTGTAATGAGACAGTTTCACTTATTGCTGTCGTATGGCCGTGGTTTTCACAGTGGACGGTAAGCGATTAGTTGTTAGTTATAATGATGACACAATGTCGATGGATTCTGTGATTATTAAGTTGTCGTAAAACCACTGAAATAAATCCAGATAAGTCGCGCGGTCTTAACAATATCCATACTTGAATGGAAACTGCTGGACCACCGGGAATAGTATTTTATAAGTCTTTGAGGCAGTCAGAACTACCAAGAGATTGGAAGGATGATACGATTAGTTAGATTTATAAAACAGGATAAAAATTTGGTCAATATCTCCCGGTTAAACTTACTAGTACAGTGGTCAGAGAAGTGGAAGAACCTACTCGGGCTGTTATTCTAGGTCACACTGAAGGGAATATTCTCATAGTGAGGGGATAACAAGGCCTTAAGACAGATCTGGTATTTTTGATCAGTCTCCTTATAGAAAATATAGTGGTCCGGCAGATATAGATGTCAATAGAGCCCTTAATAAGGTCTCCCTGCTGGGTCTTAAAGTAAGTTAAACTTAAATTTCAGAATTGGTTACGGAGTTAAAAACTGAATTAATAACTTTTTTAGTGGTGGGAGGTAAAGTGTACGAATGGACAGTGAATTTTCATCTTAAGAATATATGAAGAGTTGGATCTCCCAAAAGACAATCCGTGAATCTCCTCCTTTTTTACTTTGAGTAACCAAGTCAATAAATGTAGCAAACTCATTGATCCTATTATTAGTGGATTAGATTAATATTTGAAAATCCACATGAGTCGGCAATAAGACGAAGCTACAGGAAGGTTTGGATTCCCTACTTGGTCAGATGGATCAGTAGATGTAAAAATGAGCTCCCAAAATTATGTTATATTGCAAACTATTCACCGACGCGATTTAGACAACTACACAACAAATGTAAAGGATTCACCCCAGGTTACTGGTTGTAAGGACTTATGAATTATGACCAGGCAACTACGAGATCGCCATCACTTTTCAGCTTGACGGGTTATTTTTAAGTCATTTTACAATTTGGATGAAATATTTCGAAAATGACATCAAATTTGTGTGCACACACGTGTATATGTACACACATGGTGTCTCGTTTGTAATCGGATTTCGTTTGGCAAGTTCTCAAAGACAAATAGTTTAGATCGTTTTAAATATATAGCGAATGTCTTCAAAAAGGTCACCGTGTGGCGACAGACTGGAAAAGTAAAAGGAGTTCCTGACCTAAATGCAGTGAGCTAAACACTTTGTCAACATCCTCAACCCGCCCGCCAACCTTGAAAACGGTTTTAGGCGACCATTCCGTACTTGGATTGCTGAGTTGGTTTGGTTCCCGTTGTATTACATGAATTGAAGGTGTTCCCATATTCGAGTAGCCTGTTGCTGCAACAAAATCCCGAAATCATTCCAATGACAATTTTTACTAATGAAGCCTATACTTTAGCTTGATTGTGGCTCCGCAACATGATCTTGGAAACATAATGCTCTTCACAGCCCTATCGCTTTGGTTTAAAAGTTGATCATGTTCAGAAGATGACGTAATATCAGATGGAATCCCATAACATCGGCAACGAGAACTACTGAGGTCAAGATAATAGTCAGTAGGTACGTCACGATAAATAGTTCCTTTTGCCGGCCAAATTACTCTTTTCTTATGGAAGGAAGTTGTACTGGAACTTCAAAAAATTAGTCACGTCTATTTTGAATACGGAAACAGTGATTAGGTGTTCATGGTCGACCATGGGAGACTTGTGACTGAAATTGTTGAATGTTTGTGACATGCCAGTATTCCAACCGCCATATCAGTAGTTCACCAACATAGATAGTCTGTGTCGAATGACTGAAGGCCTACTCGAACTAGACAGGAATAACGTGACCAACCAGCAAACGTCAAAGTCACACCTTACGGTTAGTACCTAACGTGGACTACCCTTTCATCGTATCCAGATATTAAGATTACTTTGATGACCGTACAACATAAACGGATTTAATACGGAAATATGTTATTCAGAGTGGATATAAGAGACGGAGTGAGGCCACCATAGTAGAGACCAGTCCATCGCACTCAATTAGTTGGTGTAAATTGTTTGTCCTTGACCGTGATGAGGATCAGTAAACTGTCCGGTATTCAATGCCTGACTGCCAGACGACGTGGCTAGGCTTTCGTAAGATTTCACTGGCTTTAAATATCCTTCTAGCGTACATAGGAAGATAAACTCTTGTAGATGAGCTCAATGGTTTACGAAGTATACGGTACGTTGCTAATAATATTTAAGGACAATGAACTCCATTGAAGCTAGATGGCACAAACACATTCCATAATAACACAATATTATCGTTTCCGTGACGAAGAAAGCAGTATTTACAGCTTTTACGGAGCCAGGGAAGTCACAAACTGCAGATTTTTGGTTAATGCAGAGAGTGATTTGTGATGGAATCTCAAAGAAAAGTCGACAGTGATTATTTAAGAATCACTTGTAACTAGTCAAGACTCCAGTTTTCCCAGCATTTATTTCTGTATAGTTTTGCTTTATGGTATGAAACATGGCCTAAGATATAAGAAAGTGTGGAGATGTGGCATGAACTCAGTATACTACAAGAAGTCTGTTCGCGGGACACAGACTGAATTAAAGCATGCTCAATGCATGATTGCTTTAGTGCACGCTGATTGGCTAATTCTCAGCCAATCAGCACTAGCCGATAGTTAGAGAATACTCTAGAATCTTTTCATGTAAAAACTATAAATATACTGACGTTTTCTCTATTGCGCTTCTTGCTTGCATCTTACTTCCATCTAACCTTGTTATTTGGAATATAATCTCTTTCTTGTTCAACCGTGTTCTGATTTGGGGACTTGTCGAGTGATTTGGTGTCCAAGAATACTAAGCAATAGGATAGCTGGGTCATACCTTAAGAAAGAGACTATAACAAAGTCCTTCATGGTTATAATTCTAACCGAACTGTATATACAGCTTGTGAGTTAGATTTCTGCATCAAGTGTTGACCGTAATCAATCAGTAATGATGTATCAATAAACTCCCTCACATACGTTAATTATCTATTTATCTTAGTTTTATAAGGAGGTTAACCGTTGTTAATATATAATTGTTTCTAACACTTGTAAAGTACTCGCTCTATAACCGGCTGTTTCGTTATGCGAATTTCTAAGTTCGTGAAGTAGTTTCATCAAATAGTATGTAACGACCGAACAACCAGTATTCGGTTGGAACGCCGGACTGACGAACCAAAATCTATTCGATTAGACCAGACTACGTTCCTCTGTACAGCGTACAACGCGTTTTTGAGATACTCGTATCATGTTATATCAAAACACAAACTCTGTGCTAAATATAGTAGGTTCTGATTTAGAGAACAGAACAAATTATATCAAAAGTACAAAATACCTCAAACAGTACAGCCTGTGCTATACAGTCAGAAGTTTCTCTAACGCAAAGTAGCGCGCTAAACAATGAAAGAGACATTTAATACTAAAGCGTTTGCTACCTGAGAATCAATAAAAATATTCCCAATAAGATGGGATCAAATATCTGTCCGCAGGGATTCCAAAAATCCTCCGAAGCAGATAATCAAAAGGTTAACAGTCACACACTGAACCACCTGTGGCCTTGAGTTTAGTCAAACACGACCTTACTGTCAATAGTCCGACAACATGCAATGGAAGCTTAGGTAACAAAAGATAAGTCTTTAATCAAAGCCACATAATAAAGGCTTAGACGAGGAAGACTGAAGAACAAAAGGTATGGTTAAACGAGATCTGAACAAAGGTTAAAATACAAGACAAGGAGCAGAAACAGACAAATGACAGTACTGTACAACAAAAACGTTGCGGAAGAATTTTCATCGTTGTCTCGCCGTTACATAGTAAGCATCTACTCTTACTGATAGCTGTATAGATCTGCAGAAGTTCATACTGTTGTGAAAGTAAATACTAATACCGTGAAACGCCGATTAAGCAAGGAATGCCTATTCATGGGTATGATGAACGAAAGTACTATATCAGTTAACAAAATTTGTGAAGGCGTGTCATCGTATATGTTTCAATTTAACTCGCAGCGGCAGCATATCCGGGAGACTACCAGGAAGATTTGTGTCTTAGAATAGTACGAAGTACCATCAAGCTTTCACACGACCTGAGGCGTTGCGCGCCCTTAACGTGTATTACGCTTTCCCTAAAAACTGAAACCGTTGATTATAATTGTTGAACTCATACACACAAAATATTCATTAGGTGCGTGAACATGCACGTGGTCGACATTGCACATCGCTATCGTCGACTTGAGCGTTGTCCATATAATTCTTCATGTCTAGCAATTCGCTGAGATGTTCACTGGTCTAGAATTTAGTGTAACAAGGGCTTTAGCCCTATGATGAGTGGATAGAGGATATAATTTGCATAGAAAAATATTAATAACTATTCAGCCCCACCGAAGCAGTTCTGAAAAAAAGCAGTGGTGAAACAAACAGCATTACTTCGTGACGTGAATCAATCTGTCATTGTTGGAGTAGGCGCAAAAATTTTGTTTTCAGTCCGCTAAAGATTCGCTCTACTCCGTCAACGGTCGATCTGCGCGAATCATCATGTTGCCTGAGTAGTTATTCAGGATCGAAGATCTTTCGCCGCCCTCATTCCAGATAATGTCATTTTAACCCGACAATGAGGAGGCCTGGTTCTGCTACACAAAAGCTGACTTCCACGAACACGGCGTGACATATTGACATGCACATTTCTTTGTAGGAGTGAAGGCATTATTTCGAGATTTCAGCAGGTACGTCACACATAGTATGTTTACCAGTGAAGTTGCATGAACTTACGAAGCTCTAAAAAAGGTTGTCCTCAAGCGTTGAACTCCAGCGGATCGACAAAGTGAGATCAACTCTTCAGCGATATTAGTCTACAACATGACTCAACAACAGAAATGTGACTACCAATGAGAGAGGTCATTGGTCAACGGCCCGTTTAGACAAATTCTGTTGTCTAGGCTTCTCTAACATGTAAGGAAATGCTTATCTCATTTAAAATAACGCTGTAGACGAGCTGGGTACATCTGCTGACCACGGAGATCAACAGAAATTCCAACGCTGAGGTCTATTCCGTCAAAGAAAAACTTCAGGCGACACGAAATGTCATTACGGAACTCTGTCATACTCTGAAAAATTACCTTAGTATTTGTTATGACCATAGACACTCCCAAACTTCTTCATGAAAACCATCTGTCTCTAAATCACAAGGGATAGGTAACTCTGACTGATGTTTTTATCATAATAAATAGGATGAGTCTCAAAACTGCAGAAAACCCTGTAGTTTTCCGAGCTCCAAACCAACTGACACGAAAGAAGTTTCAGTAGACTTCTTAGTCAGCACGCGTTAACAGCCACCGCAGCCGGCGAACATAGCTGTTTGATATAAGTCACTAATGTGGTGACGAAATTTCGCTACTTCTTCGACACCGGCGCAACCGACCGTGTTCTTTCAGCTAATTCTAACCTCCAACTCCATGAAGCAGGTTTCAACATACAGGCGGTATTTGGAAAACCGATCGACACGTACAGCAAAAGATGTCGCGGATGTTTCTACCTGAACCCTTGCAATTGGTCTGCTATTATACCACAATCTGCTTGAGAATCGTCCGGCTAGTGAACAACCCATGGCCATTTTTCCTGAACACGATCCCTGAAAAGAACAGCAATGGTTGGAGTCCAACTAGTGACTATCGGCTACTGAATACGTAAGCCACTCCTGACCGTTACTCGTCGCTGCACATTTGTGATTTGGCAGCTACTTTGAAAGATACATCGGTTTTCTCAAAAATCGATTTGGTTGAATCATATAATCGAATTCTATTGACTGCTGACGACACCCTTAAAACCATTGTCATCATCCTCTTTGAACTCTTCTTATTTTTGCGCATTCCTCTCAGTTGGATAAATAGTGCAAAAACTTTCCAGAGACTCTTCGACGAAGTCTTTAGTGGTCTCAACTTTATATATGCGTATGTTGATGACTGTTTGATTGCAAGTCCGCGTAGAGAATCTCATCTTGAGCATCTGGACCTTGTCTTCAAGCGACTTCAAAAACACGAAATTACTATAAACCTACAGAAATGTTAGATCGTCACTGACTCCTTAGATTTTCCTGGACATACTACTGACGCCCAAGGCATCCAACCCCTGGAGAGCAAAGTGGAGGTTATTCTGAATCACCTAGAACCGACCACAATCAAGCAACTACTCAAGTCTAATTACTTAATAGGTTTTTATCGACCG